AGCAGGATAAATTCAGTCCCGCCAGAGGAGACAATCTCATTTTGAACTCCCTGTGGAAAGAGCTACAGCAAACCAGAGCTGAACTGAAGGCATCGCAGAAATGGGCGGCTCAGCACTTACTGCCAGCGGGTAAGTCCACGTGCGCTATGCTTTACTGGAGAGCTCTCTTTGGTGGGCCTGTCCAAACAGACATCCTATAAACACCCCTCTTAAGCACCTTTCCCTGCATGTGATTCCAAAGCAACCTTATGAATAGCACAGCAGCTTTGAGTAGTCTGTACATACAGGGAGGAAATCCATTAACTGTTCTTGAAAAAGAGGCACCGAGCTTTTCAAACATGGGATCAAAGAAGGGTTTAACCAAACTCCTTACACACGGCAAAGCCAGCTAGGATCCCACCTCCTGCAGGCTCTCCCAGATCAAAACAGTTACCAGAGAGCAGCAAACACATTTTAAACATACAAATTACGTTCTCTCACCTTTTACCTTCCCAGCTGGTAACTCTTATGCATACGCACCAGTCGCTGAGCTCTCCTGTTCTCATTGTGCATGTATACCCACTCCTTCCTCTTCCTAAACTAAATATCTCCTCACCAACTCCAACTGCCCAAGAGCAGAGCTAGATCCGAGGACACGCTGCTGATGTCAACGCTTCCCACAGCAGGGAGGGCACATTCACTGCATGCAACTGTCAGGACAGAATATTGCCTCAAGCGTGGAAAAATTAGTAACACTGTGGTATTGTTGGGTTGTTTTTTCCCTTCCAAAATGTTTGCATTGGTCAGCAAGTGAGGTGGCCATGGGAAGATGAGCTCTTATCTCAAATTTCATGTCAGTTTTTCTGTGCACTGTAATATGACACCCAAAAAGCATCTACAGCAACTTGGGTATGGCAGAACAGACCTTCATCTGTTTAAAGTATGGGTGCAAAATTGCTACATGCACAATATAACTATGTTGAATATAACTCTGCCTACCAGACAGCTGTAACTGCGTGTCTCCTAAATGTTGACATGTCTTTGATGACCGTATTTTCCACAAATGTAAGTTACCACAGCTTAAAAACCTCAAGAAATCTACACTCGCAGAATCCCACGGATGCGTGTGAATAGGACGTTAGGGGTGCAGTTACACCAGCCTTGCCAGCAACCCTTAGCAACACCATCAGCGTGAGCTCTTACACAGGTGAGCAAGAAGGAGCACTTCTTGTAACTGCTAAAGCAAAGGCAACAACTTACACAAGCCTGTTACAATACAAACACAGTATAACAACAGTTTACATCAAAGCGTTTTACAGTCTAACATGAAACTATCCCTTTCAGGTAGGACGTGGATTCAGCTTTATAAGTAAACTGCTTTTACTCCTTTATTTATCACAACACTTTAGCAATCTTTGCGTACTGGGACTAGATCTTACAGCATATTTCTTTTTTTCCCAAACACATGAATCTTGCCTTCCAGAAAAGAATGATCTCATTCTTTATCTCTCTCCTGTAACACGGCCAGCCTTGCAGTCAGTCACTCTGCACTAGGCGAGAGTAAAAAAACTTGATCAGCATTAAGGATCTCAGTCCCATTAGTGGAAATCCAGATTATTTCCACTGGTTCCTACATGGTTTTATATTAGATGTTCTTATTTTTTTTAATTTAAAAGATACAGTTTAAGTACTTCCAGAGTGTCTCTCTGGAAATTTTTTTTTCAAGGGACTTCTTAGCAACTGACTTTAATTTCTCACATCTTGAATTACTGCCAGCCATACTCTTGAGGGATTTTCTAATCGCACTTTTTGTTCTTCAGTGAGGCTGGTTTTAATTTTGTTTAGGCCTTGATAATAAAGCCTGAAAGCTTGCTAATTAAAAGCTTTTTCACAATAGTGTTCCTAAGTAGCATTTGAAGGAGTATCCCCAGCAGTTGCTCACTGCTCCTGCCCCTCCTCAAAAGGGCCAATGAAGAAACGTAAAATCTACTCAAAGTTGAAAGGAAGCAGCCTATGAAATAACACGGCAGCGCAGTCCTGGAGGACACAAAGAGTCCTTCATTCACTGAAGCAGAAATTTCCACACACATTTTGGACATTTTAGATCCTCTAGCTTGTTTAAACAGGAAATGAAGCAGCTTAATTCAAGAAGGGGACTGCTTTTTCCCCTATGTTACTTAGAATATTAAGTTATATATGACTAGGGAACAGTACGTAGAATACCAAAAATGCCTTGGGTTTGGTGATCATCAGTTACTTTTCTAAGTTTCATAAGCTTCTGTTAGTGCTTTTAACCAATCTGCATATTGATTAATTGGAGATGAGAGATGAACTGTTTTAAAAATATCAGTTGTCTTACACGTTTCCTGTGCTTAACCAGTGCACATGAAAGTTACCGACCAATGGCCCTAAAGGCAGGGTCAGAAAAGGGAGTCATTATACTAAACAAACACATCTCAGCATGCTTTTGCCATCACTCCCCGCGCCTGCTTTTCAGTAGCCCCTGTCCCCTTCTCCTCTGCTGCCCAGTTATCCACGGTACAACTACAGGACACTACACAACTGCTCGTGATACAACCACCCAGCAGCTCCGTTTCTCCAGCTGCAACAGCAGTCTCACACTGCTAACCCAGGAATGGCACGGTACCTAAACCTGCTGTTTGATAGGTCACTGAACCCATCCCCTCACCATAATGTTGCCGTTTTCATCACTCCATACTAAAAAAGAACACGTAGGCTAAAACAAGACCTAAATGAAACAGAGAGAGGACTACCCGACATAATTACCTATTGTAAAGTGCTAATTTCTCTAGGTGACCCAGCAAAAGAGAAGCTCTCCTAGGAGGCATGTCAGAGCAGAAGGCACCTGCCCTGCACAGACCCTCAGGGAAGCCCAACTTCCCAAGGCAAGCACCAGGGCAGACAGGCAGCATTAAACCTCAATGTCACTTTGCATGGCACAGGCCTATACAACACTACTTTTGCAGCGAGGGAAGAGCCAAGCCTTGTTCCTGCAGCCTGATTAGGCTCTAGACCCATTACCATAGTGTTTGGCAAATCCATCCATCAGATCTGACGGCTTTTTCAAAGCATCCTACATCCCACTGGATGAGCTGAGCTCTCAGCTCCCCTTGGGAAGCCCAGGAGTGAGCATATGTCAAGGGTCCTAACTGTGCATGTACAAACAGACCAGGTTTTATTCACCTAACAATCTTTCTAACTTTTTCAGGGTGTGAAACAGCAATTCTATTCCCCATGCGTTCGAAAAAGATATTTGGGAGCGTTCACCCAACTGCTGGAATGACCCTTCACTCCTTCACTGCTTGTATCTGGATCAAGGTGACGGAGGCTTTGGAGAAAACTATTGTCTTCTCCTATGGAACCAAGTTAAATCCATATGAAATCCAGCTTTATCTCAGCCGGGACTCTGCAGTGCTTATTGTTGGCGGTGACCAGCACAAGTTAGCTGTCAAGAATGTAGTTGTTCCTGGGAAGTGGATCCATCTCTGCGGTGCCTGGAGCTCGGAGAACGGATCCGCATCTCTGTGGGTGAAGGGAGAGCTCGCAGCCACCGCCTTGGACATTGCCGATGCTCACACCATTCCAGATGGAGGGATTTTGCAGATTGGTCAAGAAAAGAATGGCTGCTGCGTTGGAGGTGGATTTGACGAAGCTTTAGCCTTCTCTGGAAAATTAACTGGCTTTAACATGTGGGACAGAGTGCTCAGTGCCAAAGAGATAGCAGTGCAGAGCGGAGAAGATGCGTGCAGTATCAGGGGCAACATCATCGGGTGGGGAGTCACAGAAGTTTTGCCATACGGAGGAGCCCAGTACGTTTCTTAAATTCTGGCAAGGCAGTTTCTGAAGGAGAAAACATATTTCATGAAGAGCTGAACGCCAATACGTACAAGTAAACAGAGCCGTAGAATCCCACGTCTCTCGAATTCCCAAGGAAGATTAGCATTGCAAGTTTACAAAATGAGGTACTGTGGAGATGGGATTTGATCTCTGCCTGCTGTTTTGGCAAAACACTGAAAAAACCCACATCAAGGCGTGACATTGGAAAAGCTGTTCCTGAGGTCAGACGACCACTCTCTCTCTAGCATAGCGTTTTCTGAGGTATAAAACTGCCACTGTGGACGTTTCGGAGCTGAACGGTACTCCTGGCATCCCTGCTGAAGCAAACGCATTGGGTATCCAGCTGACCAGTCCCTGCGTAACAGACATAAGGCTGCGCATCTTCCCAGCTCCTCCAGTCATCGGTTTTTGTAGTGAATTGTACAGAGGAACCACATAAGCCAAGAAACGTGTTGTTTATTAATTGTTGTTAGTAATTTGTAGACTATAACACAACTAGCTCCTTGTTTAAAGCATTATTTATGCCACAGATTGACCTAACATATAAAAGTAATATTCCCCATCATAATCTGATGTTACATTTTGAGAAAATGCAGCTGTATTATATTGTAAATTGACTTTGTAATAATTTTATTGAAATTATTTTTGTAAAGTTGTTCTATAAATAAAGATACTTTACTAAACTAAAACTTGCCATGCTTCTCATGAACTGAAACTCTGAAAGTAAGTACCAATTTGGAATTTTTCCATGTTTTGAACCACATATTTCTCGCTGCTAATAGAAAAAGAACATAAATATCAACATCTCAGAGACACTCAGACTGAAATCCAAGCATTAGTGAGAGACAGCTTTAAAGGCCTGTCATGATAACAATCCCTCTTGTGAATGCTGCCATGTGCAAGGATCTGCCACTCTAGGAGTTCTCCCATGTGGACGTGGTCACTTGGTACAGAAGAGATGCTTTGACATAGTGACACACGTGCGTTTGACCTGAGGCTGTGCTAGCACGGCACTTGGAGGCTGAAGGAAGGATTGGTTTTGAGATATCCCCAAATAGTTCTCCATGTATAATGCTGGCCATCTGAGAAGGACACGCTTGGTTTTAAGATACATTTAGGGATCCAAGGTACCAACTTGTTTGATGCTAACAGGAGGTTCATACAAGGTGGTACTGATGGCAGCAGCTTTCTTCTCTCACATTTACAAGCTTATCTAAAATCCAATAAAAACATAGGGCTGGATACAGAGCATAAGAAGCAGATGCAGAGAGCCAAGACACTGGCGGTGATTTGTGTGTAGAAAGCAGAGCAGAAGTAGAAAATGATGAATAGTTATTCACTGGATATATAACCATTTATGACAAGAACGATTATTCACTACCTGTTGAAGCCTCTGAACAAGTTATCGCGGAGAACGTCTTACTCAAAGCAATTCTTATTTCCACTGAAAGCAGCCCACCCTTCTGCTCTATTCACACGTTTCTCTCTCTCATTCTCTACAGATGACCTAAGAACGCACTTTGAAAAGTTTCTTGACATGTTGCTGCTATGCTTATTCCTGAATATGATGCAGCTACCAGATCCTTCCTTCCACGATACAAAAGTAGTAAGAAAAAGCTACGACAAGGTAATTTCCACTTTACTATGCCATTCAAAGGGGTTGTCCTTCATAGCTAAAGTTACATGATCTGCTCCAAAGTTTTGGCAACACTGTTTATTTAAGGTAAAAATAACTGCTCCAATTGCTGGAATTTCTCCTATTACCGTCCAATAACAATGTATCTAGATTTTAAATGCTTAGTAGGAAGCATGACAAAAATACCTTACTAAATATTATCTGCAAGTAACCTTAACTAAAGAACAATGAAAGATTACCTCCGTTCATCTGCTGTCAGCCAGGAAACAGATCTTCAGAATTAAGAAAAACACTTGAGGTCCCACTATTGTGCAAGGGCAAAACCGCTCTCAAATCCTCTTTCCATACAGTGCCCTCCATTAAATGAAAACAAATGTCCATGAAACGCAGCAGAAAAAGCAAAATCCTCTAAAAGATTACCAGAAGTCCTTCCTGGCTACTTTTCTTACTGTACCTCATACCTGAAATGCTTTGTCTTGGAAGTAACCTTTTCTTATCTCTGTTCTGGTTTGGCAGATGACCAAATGGAAAGCCAGTCCTTTCATTCTCACTGACTCAGCTGGAAAACTCTCCTCTTTCCAATTGCTTTGCTCTTCCTTTATCACCTCTGTGGACTAGCAAAGCTTTCCCAGTCCAGTCCCCTCCCGCCCAGCGCCACAAGTCACCTCCATCAACATGCTTCTCTCTTTCCTTCCTAGCTTAATTATATTTTTCTTTGTCAACAGTTACTTTGCCTGTTTGGAAAACACCAAGCAAATAGTATTTTGGGGGAGTTGGGGCTCCAAATATGGAAAAGCCGCTGCGATCCTGCTCTCGCACTGCAAACGTAGAAATGAAGGAGCAAGAACAAGACACGCATGCTTGGAGTACGTTGCTGAGCCCAGTTCTGCTCTCTAACAAGCCTCTGCTGAACGCAACATCCACATCCCTTGCCTGAGCTCTTCTGGAAGGTGGAGCAGCTGTGGGACTCTCAGATTACAGCAACGGCTGCAGGGCAGTTTTGCTGTTGTCCCCTGGAAACAGGAATATGTCTGCCTGGTGCCTTATGGTGATGGAAGGTGTCAGCACAGGGTCTGTCAGCCTCGCAGGCACGGTACAGACATTTGCATGTTTAGAAGCTGAGTTCACACTAACTGGAACAGAGCAGTTAAACACTC